AGGTTATCTTATAATGAGAAGGAGCCTGAGTTCTTAAATGACTGTGTGGTACATGACCCATCACCCACAATCCACCTTGACTGTGATGTGAGAGAGGAATAACCTTTATTGGGTTAAGCCCTTAAGATATTTTTATGTTGTTCTTATAGCAGCCAGGCTACTCTGAATAATATGGAATGAGGGGAGCAGAAATGAAAAAATATACATATGCAATGTTCAGACAATATTTTCCCTCTTTCATGGGGCAACACCTTTTTCAGACTTGAATCTCAAAGATTCCTCAGGATACTAATTACTCAGGATGGTTGTTAGCTGATAACTCACTAGCTTATTTTCCAAGGACTTTTATAGGGTCCTCAAAACTTGAGAATGACACTTTACAAGAGAAAGTAACACCCAGAGGGAGAGAATTGCCTAATTCAAGTTTCATGTTTGAATAGTACAGAAACAGTATGTCCTTGCTTGAGTCTGGCATCTCTCTTTATCTCATCATTTTCAGCTGCTTCCATGATAATTACTTTTTTCTTTTGTATCTGAAGTCGGAATTATAAGTAAGAGAATTCTGACAGTACCCTTGTAGAGCTAAATCATTAATCTTGGGACATTCATAACAGCAGAAAGACCTGTCATTAAATGTAATTCAGCTCCTTAAAAGCAGTTAAAGAACAGCCTTGAACAACAATAACAAGTACACACACACACGTGAAGTTTATAGGTATATATATATATTTTTATTAGTAAAAGGATATTATGGACAAGGCTGTACAGGTTTATATTGTCAGCAGGTGTAAGAAGGAACTCAATTTAATCGTCAGTTCATATCGTCTGGCAAGTGCTATAATAAATAAAAATTCAAAAGGTAAATTTTTATAAAATATTTGTAAAGGGATTAGGAAAATAAAACATAAAATTTTCTGAGCACCTAATGTGTGCCAAATATTGTGTAAAATACATGATTTTATGTATCCTTACCATGTGGCAAGTAACGCAATTATTATTTTAATGAAGAGAAAATAAGCTCAGACCAACAAACTCATTTACCCGAGGCTACATGGCTAATAAGTATTAGGACACAGACAAAATGTATTTCCCAAGTCCGTATTCATTTCGCTGTACTTTATTGAAGCACTAAATTTGAGTGTTAGAATTAAATAACTATGTCTAAAGCTGAGATTCTCAGGTAAAAGTTCTATTTGTTGTATTATAAATAAAAATCAACATTCCATCTCTCATCCTAGTATGGCATTTATAGCGGTTGAGTTTTGAATTTAGTGATTAGAATCCAGGGAGAAAGGGAGAGGGAGGAAAGGTACCAAGAAAAGTAATAAAGAAAAGTTATAATATCTCAAGAAAGAAATCTCAAAACGGTAGGCTACTGGTGCTATTTCAACACTTTGACGAGACTGAAAAAGCCTGTGTAATGTGGCACATTTTTATTTCATTGGGTCTGGGACACATTTGGTTTGTGTTCCTTGAGGCTGTTGTGTATGAGCAAGTAACTGCTGGGGGGCCTCCTTGCCACCTGGTGTCTAAATCTAACCCTCCTCTTTGCTCTCTATTGCATTCACGGTAACTCCCACCAGTGTCTAAGGAGATCTTTTTAAATATTGTAATGTCATCTTAGTATATTTTATTGGAAGTCGTGTAGAATAGTCATTAAAAGCAGATTCTGTAGCTAGACTACCCGAGTTCAAATCCCATCTCTGATACCTAATAGCTGTGTAACTTGATAAAATATATATTTAATATCTCTTTCCCTCAGATTTCTCATCTGCAAGATAAGGATAATAATAATTCTAAATTCATAGGATTATTATAATGATCAAATTAATTTGTGTATGGGATAGTATATAGCACATAGAAAATACTAAGTGTGTTAATTACTATTATGGACCATAATATATGCTATCATTGTTTTCATCTCTTAAGTTAACCACAATGTCATGAGACTTATTCTATAAAAATATAAAGGAAAAAAGGATTAAAGGGAAAGTTTTTGGTCGTGAAAGGGGGAATAATGTTACATTATCAAAGATTTAGGGGCTACAAAGTGCAAAACATGTAAAACAGGCCTTTTGTTTTATTTTTAATCAGTAGCAGAAAATACCAAGTCGTTTCAAAGATATTCTCTGTCCCTAGAAAGATAAAATAAGTCCACGACACTTATTTGATATTTTCTATTATCAAACCAGATCTCTAGTTAGTTGAGCTGTTACTGATCAGCTGTACCATCTTCTTGCTTCTCATGCTAATCAGTAGAAGGAAGGGAGGGGTGGATGCCAGAACTTGAGAGACGGCAGGGAGAGGAGTGAGAATCCAGGTTGGGGCAGTATCAAAAATGGCTGAGAGGTTTGTGTTGTACCAATAAATCAAGTTTCAAAGGCATCCCCTTCACTTGTTAATAAAATTGTCTATGGCATCAACATCACTGGGTTATTTCAGCCTTTCTCATTATACCTTCTAAGCTATAACTTAAGAGATTAACTGGCAGACTGTCTACTCCAGAGCTTGGTCTGCCCTCTTTTTTGAGGAGATAGATAGATTATTATTGTAACCACTATTTATGAAAGATTTCTGGCCTCTGGTTTCCTTAAAATATTTCCAAAGTCTACCCCCTCCTCCTTGGGTATCTTTCTCTGCAGGATCCAAACTCAATGATTAAAGACACAAGTGGCTGACAGAGATCCCGAGAACCCATTATGAAAATGAAGGCAGAGACAACCTTTGTATTTTCCAATTTAAAAAGCCTTCATGACATAGCACATTTCAGGCTGAGAATGTTAAAAATTTATCATAGTTTCAGTAATTGCAGCTTCCTCTGGAACTTGGCATAAGATGGAATCATTTGTAGAATGTATATTGTGTTTGGCACTCAGTAGGAAGCTTGCCAGGCAATACATTTAATTAGGAGCATGAGGAAAAGAGAATAATTGTAGTCTGTCACAATTTATTATTGTTACTTTTAAGTTCTATATGTGTTTAAGATAGTCGTCTCATAACAAGGTGTGTATTTAAAGCTAGAGGTAAGTTCCTTTTCATCAGCCCAGGGTTTGTATACGGGGACATATATTCTTTTTGAGGGGAAGGGTACGTTAGCTACATCCCTTAGATAAAACTCTGTGTCCATTGTTTAACCTAAGTGAGCATTAGCCCCTCTCCTTAGTAACAAATTTTGTCCATTGTTTCAGACCTTGAAAATTGATGCATTGCCTTTTGGGAGCTTGGACAGCTTTATTTAAGTTTAACTTTCTCTGGAGATGCATAGACATAATGAAATGCAGTGCCCGTCTTGAACATAACCATGTACATAGCATCTAGTCCTGCCTGATTCATAAAGTAAATTTGATAAGAGCAAGTCAAAAAAATTGTAATGATTAATGTTGATTTTTTAGAAAAATTCAAAGCAACCTGTGTCAGCAGATTCAAAGAGGAGAAGTATGGTGATAACTATCTACTGAGGCCAGGTTTTCATCCTCTTAGCTGTGAGGTTCCATTTTTACAGGAAAACTTGCTTGTAATGTATTTGAGAGGCCCCATGAATAAAATGCAGTGAAAGGGCCTTTTTGACATACTAGTCACAAGTGATTTGATGTTCAGGTTTTCAGGTGTAGAATACTCTGATCATTTTCCTTTGCATGAATCCCCCTATGTTGTATTAGTATAGAATGATAGTCCCTACATGAACAGAGATTTTTCTCTTCACAACACATCTTATTAGATTTAACATTAGGGCATCTACCCTCAAGACTGCTCCAAGATGTAAATAAGATATTGGACAAAGGTTGTGTCCATTCCCCTTCTCTTCAACTCCACTGTATTTTGGCCTCTCAAAATCTCCCTTTCCTCACCCTGACTGGCTTATTCCTTCTTCCCACCTTCCTCACTCTTCTCACTCCCAAAGCATCGAAACAGACGGCAAAGCATCAAAACAGTTGCATTAGTGAGTGATTTCTTCAGGGTCTTATTCTCTGCTAGGAACAAGGAACAGAAACCACATAATTGGAACAGCCAGTGTGCCGATACTCAGTAGAGGGTTAGGAATTGGACCTAAAGGAATAAGGAGAGGAGCAGTTTTAGGTGGATGGAACATTTATATTCATTCAGGTCAGTTATTCATTTATTTTTGAGGAATGAGAAGACAGAAAAATATCTCCTTATCCCACTCCAACTATGTAAGAAGTGTACTTCTTTCTTAACTACATTGCAAATCCCTAAATAAACCTAACTTTTATTCCACGGCATTAGAAACCAAAATTATCTTAAAATAACAAGCACAAAAATAACAACTTATTGAATGCTTACTTTGTTTAAAACAATGTTCTGAGCACTTTGTGGAAATTAAATCATGAAGTCCCTAGAATGACTTCATGTGGTGGGTGCTCCTATTTCCTATCACTGGGAAACTGGGGCATCAAGTGGGAATTTATCTTGTTCGACTTACACAAATGGTAAGAAGCAGTCTCTTTGGGGAAATAGTCCACGATAGTGTGACTCCAGATTCATACTCAACTACTCTGATATTACTAGGAAATAATTGTGGAGGAGAGGTAATGTGATAAAAACAAAGTACAATTAACCAAAAGACTGTAAAAAAAAAAGATTAAAAATAGGAGGATTAACAGCATCCCTGCTAATCAAAGTACACTGTTGAACATATAAGATGTCCAAAATCTCATGTTTCCACCCAGAATGAAGAAAATACCTTTGCCTTCAGGGGTCTGCATCCACCAAAAGTATCTCTGGGCTAAGGTTTATTGTACAAAATACATGGGAATGAAGATCAAATGGAGTCCATCTTCTTGGCAAAATATCCTGAATCTTAACAAAACAGGCCTTCTTTTTTTTTTAAATTTTTCATTTAATACTGGAATCTAATCATGGCCTGTTTAAAACTAAGTATGTAAAACCAATGGCTTATACTTTGGGGTACAAATCTTGTGTGTGTGTGTTTGTATCTTAGCATGAACCACTGCAACAAACATGTATTCTTTTATTTTAAGGGGAAAAGGACCACTGAAGCATACAACTGATGTGATCTATGCAGCTAAAATGATATCAGAATCAGGATCAAGGATGGACGTCCTTGCTCGGCAGATTGCCAACCAGGTGAGTTCTTTACAAATGGATGTGATGAAAGTTCATGGTAATTGCTCTCTGTCATTTGACATTGTTTAAAACAAAGTTGAATTTTTACTCTGTTGGATTGTTTTTTCCTAAATTATTATTGAATTATTTTTAATTTTTTTTGCATAATTAACACACAAGTGGAAAATTTATTCTGAGGAAGTTTATTTCTTGGTGCTTTATTATTACTACTATTATCATTATTATTATTATTTAGGGCTGGATTATTTTTAAGATTTTTGAGCTTCAGATATATTCAAATTATTCTAAATATCAGCTTTATGAGTTTCAGATGTACTCAAATTATTTTAATTGGCTGTAATACCCAATGTTAGTATTCTTTTTCTTAATATCTCAGATTTCTTATTTTTGCTCTTCAAAATTAGTGCTTTTCAAAAGTATGTTAGGTTTTCTGTGTAAACAATATGTTCTGGCATTCTATGTAAAACTGTGAGACAAACAGTAATTAGTAGAATACTGAAGGGAAGATATAAAATGTAGGAAGCATTTAATCCTTATAGATGCTCTAAATACTTGGTTTCCTTTCTTTAGATTTCTGATGTCTCTATTCCAGTTTTCTAAGCAGCAGCTACACTATTAGAGTTACCTTTTGCTTAACTTTAATTGAGAAATCTGTCAGTTTCTTTAATGTACTGAGATATTCAATTACTATTTCAAACTGAGATATAGTATTCCTTTGCAGGTTTTACATTATTCAACTCCATAATACATATTTATCTATCTTTGGGGGAAAAAAAAACACTTGTCTTTTTGAGTCTGAAATGACTTCATATCTTTTTTGTGCATACACTTTAAGAGAAACTTTATTAGGCTACTTATTTTTATTTTTTTTTTATCCTCTTTTTCTTGGAAGCTGAGGAACTTTCTCTTATTAGATATTATATTTTTGGATATAAGGGAAGAGAAATAAACAAGGAAAAATAATAACAGAGACATATTTTAAAACATACTTGAATATATATATATATTCACATATATGGTCATATATATTTTTTCAAGTTCTTGCTACTACTCTGTAAACATTTTATTAATCTTTTTAGTATTCAGCATTTACAGTTAAAAACAAACTCTATTCTAATATAATTCAAAATCTATTATGAATAAATGAGTGAAGCCCAAATCTGCCCATGGTTTTCTGTGTTCTAGAATTTTATTGCATTCACTTTTATGAGACAAAATAGTGGTAAGATAAATGAAACCATAATACATTAAACAGATTCATGTGTTCTAATAACTTTTAAAATACTTAATGATTCCTAGCAGTGTACTTCTGTTTGTTTTAGAATGCACAATTTTCAAAGTCCAAATAATTGTGTCACTTTGAAGTTGTCCTTTTCTTCTTGACTGATATTCTTCTTTAATTGGATTAGGTCACCTTGCAGTAGGTGCGTCTATAACATAGCTGTATTAAATCATGCTATTGTTTTTAACATTATTCACATTGCATGGAAGAAAGCAAAAGTATTGTCTCACTTCCATATAACTTTGACATTTTAAAAGAAGCTTAAAGAAACAGTCACTGACTAATGAAGAATTATGGATGACTCTCTTTGGCCTTTTCCATTTCATATAGTAAAGTAGTTTCAAATGATATATTTAATTTTCATCTGAAGAAATACGGTTCTGAAGAATCAGAATTGAATCACTTATTATAGTGACTATCTGGGAAGATTCTCTATGATTGTGCTTCGGATATCTTTTGATAGATCAACATAAAAAATTTAGACAAAAATAATTACTGAAATTGGTTGTGGAATACAATTGAATACTGTAAATAAGCAAGGCAGTTTTTACAGTGTCAATGTATATTATGAAAAAACTCTGCCAGAACATCGGTTGCTTTTAATTTTGAACAAACTAATAGCCCAAAAACCTTTTAATAATTTTTATGATGCTTTCCAGTCTGCTTTTGGCTAGAGTGTCAGAAGGTCAAACATCAATCAATTTTCAATTCTATCCAACATGGATTTGTGAAATATATATATAGTTGGGCCAAGTTAGTTTCATTCTATAAAGTTTCAGAGTCAAAGTTCATATGTAGAGAGAATGAAATGAAATCAAATTGAGACTTCTAGTTCTGCCTTCCTTGATTTTTTTTTTAACCCTTCTTCCCTGTCTTGCTTCCTTGAACATATGTTTATTGTATATAACTACATACAATTTACTACTCTGGCATTACCATTAGGTAGCTAGGAAGAGATGATTGAAAATCTTCTGTTGTAACATACAGAAGCATAATGTAAGCTTACTTGTCCCAATCACTCAACATCTCTTGGATTTAGAATTATCTTGAGATGGTGAGGTAGATTTCATATGCCATCCAAGACCATGTTGTTTAAGTCCTATAGAACTCTGGTACAAATCCTGTCTCCATCAGCCAGTATATTCCTGAGGGTCAGGATGTTGTTAGTTATCACAATTCTTAAACATTTTCCTCATGAATAAAGAGAATGACAAGTTGGAAAGGTATGCTTCTTACAAATTTAGTATTTCAGACTCTTGGTACACATCTCTTTCTATTCTTTGACTCTTCATAGTAAATCATCATGTTAGCGGGTATTCTAAATTAGATGAACTGGAAGATACCTCACAAGGTAGGAATAATACACTGAAAGATCTCAATTAGTCACAGAAGCAACCTACCTCAAATAGAAAAGAGGTGAATAGGAAACAAAATAAAATTAACATCTGCTAAAGTGTTTTGTGCAAGAAGAGGACAAAATTGGACTTTCTAACCCCTGAGAGTTGTGTCTGAATCCTAATACTCCTTCACTGTAAATTTTCCAAAGCAAAGATATCCAGATTGTTGACTGGGTACTCCCACCTAACCATAACAGGACACAATTAAAATGAATTTTCAGTGTTAAATATATTGAAAGCCAAAACTAATTTAAGAAAGATGACATTTAAAAAACGAGATAAAGAATTACAAGGCAAATCATACACAGTGCACTCAACTATGAACAAAACAATCTCCAAGTGTAATTTATATTGATATTTTGACAAAATATTGTTGGTGGCTAGCCTGATTTGTATTGTTTCCTGCTGATGTTATGAGTAAAAAAAAATGTAATAAAACTACACTAAAAAGAAACTTATGAAGCATTAATTACATCATTCTAACATGTCTCTTAGGAATATAACTTCTAGATGCATCTGTGACAATATTTGTATTTTGACACAATTATTTGTCTGAAATTTATCTTGAACAGAGAATTTGATACCTAGATTTGTTCTCCAGATTAATGAACCCCTGCTTTATAAAAATGAATGCATAGCAGGTTCCTCAGAAATTAAATAGGAATAGATAAAATACTGAAAATATTTTATCTGTTTGCATCCTTGAAGTAAGAGTTTCCTGTTAAAAGGCATGCTGCTTTACTATTTTTCTTTTTTATTGGGTCTTTGTCATTTTCCCATTGAAACAATATCTTAAATGATTTGAGGGTGATTATATATTCAGTATTATTTCATGTATGCAAAACTATAGCCTTGGGTACCCAGAATAAGGTATTTTATGGTCTAGGAAGAAGGGGCTATTTGGTGTAAGAGGGGAAGACGAAAGATGAGGAAAGTTTCTCCTTACAGGTGGCTGGCTGACTTTAACCAAAAATTCCAAATAATCAAAATTTGTCTGAATTACCTTTCCACCATCCTTTCCATATCCATATTCTTTATACAGGGTAAAACATTTGTATAAGTTTATTTCAATCCCGTAACTCTTCAGTTGACACGTTTCAGGTTTCAGGGAGGGAGATGATGTGTTTTGAGTTTTAATCTAATACATAGGGAAGCCAATCCTTCTGAGAATTTCTCATGGAAGTCAGCATAAAGCAGAAAAGTAGGTTGGGCCAGAACTTTATACCTACTAAAGGAAGGAGCTTTGATGAAGATGGAAAATATCTTTGTCTTTAATTTGCATTAGTGTTCAAAGGATATGTCACTGATAGCAGTCTCTCAATGATTGTATGTCCAAACCAAGTTGAAACTAAAAATGAATTTGAAGCATTTCTTAAACTCAAAACTATTTTAGGGACTTCCCTGGTGGTCCAGTGGGTAAGACTCCGTGCTCCCAATGCGGGGGACCCAGCTTCGATCCCTGGTCGGGGAACTAGATCTTGCATGCATGCTGCAAGTAAGAGTCTGCACGCGCAACTAAGACCCGGCACAACCAAAATAAATAAATATTTTTTTTAAAAAGACCATTTTAGGGACATCCCTGGTGGCGCAGTGGTTAAGAATCCGCCTGCCAATGCAGGGGACACGGGTTCGAGCCCTTATCCAGGAAGATCCCACATGCCACGGAGCAACTAAGCCCATTCACCACAACTACTGAGCCTGTGCTCTAGGGCGCGAGTGCCACAACTACTGAGCCTGCATGCCACAACTACTGAAGCCCGCGTGCCTAGAGCCCGTGCTCTGCAACAAGAGAAGCCACCGTGATGAGAAGCCCGCGCACCACAACAAAGAGTAGCCCCCACTTGCCACAACTAGAGAAAGCCTGCACGCAGCAATGAAGACCCTGCGCAGCCAAAAATAAATAAAATAAATAAAATTTTTTTTAAAAGACCATTTTAGTCTAAATAAGGAGATGTGACAAAATCTGAACAACATATACAATTTCTGGTAAAACAACATTTATGCACTGAAAAATGCCAAACTATAATTTCCCAACTATAACTCTCACAAGTCAGCAGGTCCACTGTAGACCATATGAATCAGTGTCGTCCTCCATCATGACATCATAAAAGAGCCCCACTGTATTTTTACCATACTTCCATAGATACCCTTCTCTTTTGTGTCTTAGAAACCTTAGTTTGCTAAAGAGCAGCAATGATAGGCATAACAAAGAAGAAAAACGTTCAAAGTATGCTGAGATTTCTGGACGTAGAATCAACCCAAATAAATGACTGACCAAATTTAATAGATGGGAGAGAGGAAGGAAGCACTCTTTATTGAGA